TTGTTATTTTTTTATTGATTAAGATAGACAAATATGTTTTTATTTTACTTTAATTCTATCATTATTTATTCACTTTAATTAATAATTCAATTACAAAAAGTCTATCTTTATATTTTATTTCATTTCAACAGTATTATAGATAACAATAATAAAGTGCAACTAAATGCAAAAAACAGTATTATAGATAAATAAAAATATTGTTCTCAAATCCTTAATTTAAGAAAAAAGTTAAAAAAATTATTATTTTAGAATAGATGGGAAAAAAATTTTATTTATTACAATAATTAGAAGTTATCTTCTCGTTTTTACCCTTATTTACAATTAAAACAAAAAAATCTAATACTCTTAGGATTTAACATGTCTCTCTCTAAGGAGAGTTTATAAAATAATTGATTAAATTATTGATAATCAGAGTACAAACCCTTATTTTCTCTTCTCACTCCTCTCCCCATAAAAGTTTCAATTAGTTGATCTGTTTCATAAAAAAGAAAAAATTTCTCTCTATTTTTCCTGTAATTTTTAACTTTTTCCAGTATACCAAAAAACTTACAGTTGGGCAGAAACCCTGCAATCCATTCCGAAATCGTTTTTATCCTTAGAGCTTTGGAATTGGCATGGCAAAGGCAAATTAGAAGCGTTATTGTGGAGTCCGACCCCCTAGTAGCTGTACACAAGGTCAGTCACAATGCAACTCGGCACGATCCACATAGAAGCTTAATAACTAAATGCCGTGAATTTCAGAGAAATTGACACGGTGAGATTCGTCATGCGTTATGTGAAGTTACCCATTGTATGAATGTTATGACTTCAAAATTTTACCACTAAGACAAAGTTAGCATTTTTTTAATGATCCACCACTGGAAGTGAAACAGAAAATGGTAAAAGATCTTATAGGTATTTGTAGGTCCAAAAATTTATTTAGCTGAAAATACCATTTAATCTAACAAGATTTAAGATAAACTTAAAAATAACACTTAAGCTAATAAGATCTAAAATACAAAAATAATTAAGAGAATTTACTTTTCAACACATTCAATGTAAGGATCAAACATTGATTTAAACTACATGAATCACGAACTATCTAAAGCATATAAAATTCATTTGTTTAAGTACATAACAATTTCAATTAATTAAAATAATCTTCCACTGTAGTTCTAAAAAAATAAATTCAAAATTAACCAAATTATATATTATAAGAAAGGATGTCTTTGAGAGTTGAGAGGCGTAGGTTATGGCTTACTTCATACCTGTTATGGTCAAGGAGGGAAATCGACAAATTAATTAAGCATATTTGTCGCACTTGCCGCTTTAGAAAAGTTGGTTAGGTGCACACGGTTTAATTTCCGGGTCTCATGGCCCTTTGTCATGTCTCCAACCGCAGCAATGCTGTGGTGTTTCCCAACCCTCGATTTTACCTACAAGAGTTGATTGAATTAGTATTTATTGACAAATGCTTTAATTTAAGGTTAATGTCAAGAGTTTAAATCTTTATAATACTAAGTAATTAATTTTTGATGTAAAAAAAAAAATGTATAAATGTCATGTCTTCTCAAAATAGGCCAAGGTTAGAAGTATTTTGATTTAAAATTAAAAACAACAAATAGTTACTCTCGTGGTCGCTAGGGTTTCCCTCATCGGCGTGCGAGCCTCTCACCTAGGCGCTTCTCCCTGGTTTTTTCAGGGCCCCTCTTCCTCTACTTCTTATTTTTTGTCTCGATTTCCCTTTCCCCTTCTTGGATCTTGGCGTAGAGGAGAGATCGGGGTGCAGGAGGTGAGGGGACCTAGTGCAGGGTGCGAGTGCGGGCGTGGGTGAGGGCGCAGGCTTGGGGCGCGGCAAGGGCAGAGGCGTGGTGCAGCAGGAGGCTAGTCTGGGTGCAGCAGAAGGCTCGTTTAGGTGGACCCTGTGTTTTCCAGATCTAGAAGAGCTTTGTTTCCTGCACATGCTAAGCATCATATTCCTCTTTGAAACAATGCGCTCATGCCTTTGTTTTGCTTAGATCTAGGGTATCCGAGTGGTAGTCATTGGAGGCTGATTGGTTTTTTCGGTCGTAAGCCAAAGGAAAAGGATGAGGTTGGTGAAGTCGCTACGGGGGAGAATGCCACTTTAGTCTCAAAAGGGGCTCTAGTTCCCTTATTGAAATTTGGCAACAAGGGTTTGCAAAGGATTGGAATAGTTAGGGCATGGTTGGGAGTCCATGGCGACAAGGGAGGTGCCTAGGTTTGTATGGAGGAGCATGGCCCTCCTATTGATTGAAACTGTTTTAGGGACGACATATAGTGGGTTGGGGACTGCTGATGTCGAATTTTCCCCGCTCTCCCCATGAAGCTGGCTAAATAGGTAAGGACGTCCAGTAGTTTCAGATACTCATAGCGACCTCCTTTTCTACTTTTGTAGCCCTATTTTTGCCCTTATAGTGATTGTAGCTACAATCTTTAGTCACAGATGGCCCTCTTCGCTTAATTGTCCATATATGTCATGGGCATAGTTTAAATCTATTACTAATGCTGTATGTTACACTTCTGTCCTTAATTTGGCTATAATGCCCTGCTAGAGATTCATCTGTAATCTCCTTATATTTAATATAATTCTCTATTTCCTATAAAAAAAAAACAACAAATAGTTGAATTGAGTCAAATTTTTTTGGTTTGGTTAAACAATTAAAAACCGAATTTAATTTTAAACCAAATCAACATTTTGGTTCAATTATGGTTATGGTACTAAATTGCAAAAACCAAAAGGAGCTTTCAACTTAACCAGATTAGTAAAAAATTTAGTTTAATCCAAAAGCCTAAATATACTAAATTTTTTTAGTACAAAAGTCAAAATTTAATTTGAAATTTAACAAAGATTCAAAATTTTGGTTAAAACCAAACTAAACAAAAAATTTTGGTCAACTTAACTAAATTTCTAAACTTTAATTCAGTTCGGGTTCTATTTTGAAGATGTTAATTGATAAATTGGATTGGCTCAAATTTTTCTTTTTGATTCAATGACCAAATCAAATTGATGCTAGCACTAAGGCCAGGCCAAGTGCATGCCCCCTAATACATTCTTTAGGCAGATAATGCTAATTATTTTCTCAACTTGCAAGTTTGGGACATAAACCTTTTACTAAATTTCGTGGAAAGTCGACCTCAAACTTCCATCGTCGGGACAATTGCTTTATATTTAAAGGATGACATCATATATGAACATCTTTTTGTTTAGATTTGACTATGCCTGTTTGAGTGGGTCCCACTTGCTAATGTGTGAGTATTTAACAATTAATAAATTAGTGTTTGATTAGACTCAATTGAAACCCTTAAACCCTAAAAATTTGGATTGTAGGGACATAGTCAAAGAAATTAAAATTTAAAGGGCTAAAGTGCAGATCTATGAAAAAGAGCGGACAACGCAATAAAATTAAGAAGATAAAATCAATGTGTGAAGAAAATTTCTGTGAACGGTGTCGTATTTGGTAAGGGGTTTAAATCAACAAAGTTGTCTTCCTCCTCATTCTGATTCTGCAAAGTTAGCTAACGTTTCTTCCTAAATCCACCAAGATTGTTCGCAATTATGGAGAAGGATCCCAAGATCTCATTTAGGTGTGCTTCCATGAGAAGATTGGAGGGGGCTCCTTCTCCTTCCTAAATCAAGTTGCTTAGGGAAGAGGTAAATTTCTCCAAATTTCAGTTTTTACTCTTTCCTTTTAAGCAAATTAGGCTGTGTTGTTCGTTGAATTCAATTTGGTTAGATTTGAAGAGAAATGGTTATATTATTATATGAGATAGCAGAAATCAGGAAGTTTCGATAATTAAAAAGACTTAAATATCATAAATGAACCATGACATTTAAAAATGTCAGGATCAAGATGCCTTGAAAAACAGGCTACAGTTCTAACATTTGCTATTTATACAAAGAAAAAAAAAAAGAAAAAAAAAGAAAAAAAAAGAAGAAAAAAACACTCCTCACAACTTGAGACTAGTAGTATTGCTATATCTATAATGGTATGATAAAATGCACTGTGTCTTTAAACCTCTACAATTTCATCTTCATTGCATTCATCTCTTTGGAGTGTTGAGGTTTCTCCATGGTGTGTCAATACCTCAGAATCAGTTGAGAGGCCGTGTCTCTTACCAATAGCAGCTAGTTTTTTGTACAATTGAAGCATTGTTGGCCTTTGATCTGGATATGGTTGAACACAATCCAATGCAACCTTCAGAAACTGAAAGATTTCCTGGTCAAATCCTTGCCCCATCAGCGATTTATCGACAATGCTATAGAAATTAGAGCTTGTAGAGAGATGGGTAACCCAATTGTTTAGTGGCTCATAGCTAGTGTCTGAGTATGTTGTCATGCTTCTAGGATCCTCTCTAGTGATCAGCTCAAGAAGCAAAATTCCAAAGCAATAGACATCCTCTTTAGTGAAGCTTGATTCCCAAAACTCAGTATTAAGTGAGAAGGTTTCAGTTGAATCAGTACCATATGGTTTCACAAGCATTGCCTCTCCGAAGTTTGATAACTTGGGAACAAAATTTTCATCAAGTAAGATGCACTTGGAGCTAATGGCAAGATGGAAAACATGAAAATCGCACCCTTGATGGAGCCAAACGAGGCCTGTTGCTGCTCCAATTGCAATTTTAACCCTTATGGGCCACTCCATGATTCTTGCCTCACCTTCTTCAGGATGTAGCCAATCATAAAGACTGCCTTTTGACATGTATTTATAAACTAGAAGCTTTTCCTTTGAGTGTATGCAGAATCCGAGGAGGGGCACAAGGTTCTCATGCCTCAATCTACCTAGTGTCTTCAATTCTGTTATGAAATGCTCATCAAATAGGTGAGTGTCATGTAATCTCTTCACAGCGAGGAGCAATCCATTAGGCAGCAGTGCCTTGTAGGTTGTCCCCATCTGTCCAATTCCAATGATATTTTCTTGTTTGAAATAGTTTGTTGCTTCATTGATTTCTGTATAACTCAGTCTGGAAACTAGTTTCACCAGGACAGAAATCTGTGATTAAGATCCACGTTCTAATATTAATACTAAATCATGCAGGAAAATTAGAACTAAAAGTAAATTATATGCTAGAGAGTTAACGAGTGTACCTCTGGGCTTTCTTCATGTAGAAATTCCACATATGGCATTTTCTTCATGTGCTGAGCTTGCTTTCTTTCGTTTTTCTTTTGCAGTAACTTATGTAGCTGGAATTGCATTGGTACTTTACTCTTCTTCTTCTTCGAAATAAAAATAGTGATAACTAAAAAGGCAGAAACTGCATAGCTAACAACAAAACCTTTTTTGAATGTATCACTTATTGACGTACTCTTGCAAGGATCCAAAGGGCTGCCACAAAGTCCCGGATTATTAGCAAAGCTATCACTTGAAATATCATTTAAAAAATTAGGTACTGGACCGTATAATAGATTATTAGCAACAGTAAAGGTCCTAAGTCGACGAAGCAGGCCAATTCCTGGTGGGATATGACCTGTTAGTTGATTGTGATCAAGATTAAGAACATTCAGATAAGTACAATTGGCTAAACTCTTCGGGATTTCACCTGAGAAATTGTTGGAAGAGAGTTTAAGTGTAGTTGAAAAAGGGAGGATTCTTGATATATCAGATGGAATTGGTCCAAAAAGCTCATTGTTTGAAAGGTCTAGCCCCGTTAAGCTAGAGCAACCACTTATTCCTCGTGGAAATTGGCCCTTCAGACCCATGCCGGATAGTTGAATATTCAGCACCTTGTTTTCATCCGGACTCCAACATTCAACCCCTGTAAACCTGCAGATGAAGCCGTCTGTATTGTTGTTGAAGTCCCACGTAGCAGTGAGGTAACCGTATGGGTCTTCCAGCGAGTGTTTTATAGATTTCAAGCAATCGATGTCAGATTGAAGGCCGATACTTGCAGTGCTCAGCAATGACCAAATCAAAGCGTGGAGAAATACCAGGTGAAGTATAGGATGCATTTGCAAGCATGAATGCAGTGCAAACAAAGAAATAGAGATGAAGCTTACGAGCATCTAAGGGATGAAAGATACAGATAATCACAAGAGGAAAATTAGATTGATCCTTGAAGCTCCTTACGATAAACAAGAAAATTATATGAAAGACAAGGCCAGAATGAGAACCGACTATATAAGCAATATAATTAAGTACAACTACCGTATCAAATTTTCGACATTTCGATCACTTTTCAAGAATAGTAGGTGATATAAAAGCAAGGAATTGAAAGTCTAATGTGCTGGATAGAAAACAAAGACTGGAATACCAGTCTTTGATTATGATGGAATGAAGATTTCCAGTCTTCAATTTATTTAAGAGTTTAAAAAATTCTCTTTTAAAAAAAAAAAAAAAATTTAAACTGCACAATAAAAAAAAAAATTTTCTCG